TTTTTTGGTTTTTCTCCGGTACCGGGAACCGAACTCACGACCTTGTGCTTGCCAGGCAGGCGCTTTGCCGGTGAGCTAAATCCCCAGCCCCTAGCCTGGTATTTTAAAAAATGTTTTATTTTATTTTGGTACTGGGGATTGGACTCAGGGTCTTCACGCACTGAGCTACATCCCAAGTCCTTTAATTTTTTTTTTTGAGACAAGGTTTGCTAAGTCACTCAATCGCCAAGACTGGGTTTGAACTCATGATCTTCCAGCTTCGGCTTCCCGGGTTGTTGGGTTTTTGGGCTTTTGCCCCCTTGCTTGTTTTTAATTTTTTTTTTTTTTTGGTACCGAGAATCAAATTCAGGACCTTGCACTTGCCAGGCAGGGACTGTGCTGCTGAGCTATATCCCTGGCATTTTATGTTTCAAAAGTGATTTAATTTTACAGAATCAGGCCAAGCATAGTGGCACATACCTGTAACTCCAGCACTCAGGAGGCTGAGGCAAGATGATTGCTGTGAGTTCGAGGCCAGCCTGGGCTACTTAGTGAGTTCAAGGGCAGCCTGGACTTCATAGCAAGACCCTGTCTCCAAAAAAAATTTCTTTTAACAGAATCATTTTTGAAAGGCAGCTTTTGTTAGGGAAGACCTTCAGAAAACCCACACAGGAAACTTCTCCTCTTTAGGTTCACCATGTAAAGATCATTTAGTTCAACAGTTTTATTAAGATATCATTGGCATGTAAAAGCTGTATATATTAAGGGATACAACTTGATGCTTTGACATATGAACACATTGTGAAATGACTATCACAGTTCAGCTAACTGACATAGCTATCGGCTCTACATTGTTACCATTTGTGTATTGTCTTGGTTACTTTTCTCTCATTGCTGGGACAACACACCCCACACCCAAAATTAAGGAAGGAAAGGTTTATTTAGTTCAGTTTGTGGCTGTTTCAGTCCATAATCAACTGGCTCCAAGACAGAGTGGCGCACGGCAGAGGGCAACAGTTCATGGCGGTGGAAAACAGCAAAGCAAGAGCAAGAGGGGAGGGGGAGCAGACCTCTTTCCCTCCCTTATATTGTATATCAACTATCCGGCCACCACCACACCACCTGTGTGCACTCCTCTTCCACAAACTGAGGATGTTTACAAAGTAAGGACCCTGCCCCCTCAATCACGTAGTTAAACTTTTAAACTTCTCAAGGTGACACAATGAACAGCATCCTAGAGCAGTAAGGGCATGTCCTTTTCACTCCAGGATGTAGAACTGCTGAGTTACTTAGTTAAGCTTCTAGATTCCTCAAGCTAATACAAGGTATCCACTATAACATGTATGCATTGAAAATACTTAAAATAGCTTCATTTAGAACAAATTTCTGTATAAAATACAGTACTGTTCATTATCACAATCATGCTGTACACTAGACCTCCAGAACTTGTTCATACTGCATAGTTGAAACTTTGTATCCTTTGACCAGTAATACCCATTTTCCCTCTCCTACCCATCCCTAGTAACTACCACCCTGACTACTCTCCATTCCATAAATAAGAGATCAATAAGCCCATTTTTTTCATTTGGGTGGTAGAGCAGGCTGAGAGCACCAGGAACTTTAGGAGTTTATTCTCCATTGTCTCTTTCACATCCTTCTTAATCTTTTCAGCCTGCTCTGAGTCCCTGGCAGACAGCTATGTAGCCTACATCAGCAGTGGGCTCACATTTCTGGCTTCCAAAAGTATTCAGCCACTGAGAGGCACCAAGTGTCTGGGCATGGCACAAGAGACAAGTGAGACTACATCTACTGGAAGAGAAAGTAGGTAGAAAGCCTGGAGACTAAGTGTAGGCAGAAAGTTTAGAACAAAACCCAGACTGCGTGAGAAATACTTCAAATAATGAACAAGTGGCTCTCATATTATTAAAAAGCTTTTGCACAGCAAAAGAAATCACCAACAAAGTGATAAGAAAACCCACAATGTCTGAAAAAATGTTAGCCAGTTGTCACTCAGACAAAGGACTTCTAACTAGAACATATAAAGAATTGAGAAAATCAGATCCCCCAAATTCAAAGACCCCATCCAAAAATGGGCATCTGAGATGAATGCACACTTCTCAGATGAAGAAATACAAATGGCAAATAAATACATGAAAAAAATTTTCAACATCATTGGTCATTTGAGAGATGTATATTAAAACAACACTGAGATTCCATCTCACCCCAGTAAGAATGGCTACCATCAAGAAATCAATGAACAACAAATGCTGGAAAGGCTGTGGGGAAAAAGGAATGCTTTTTCACTCTTGGTGGCAATGTAGATTGGTCCAATCACTTTGGAAATCAGTGTGGAGATTCCTCAGTAACTAGGATTAGAGGTCCCACTTCATCCAGTTATTCCCTATCTAGGAATTTTTCCAGAAGAATTAAAAACATCATACCGTGGTGATATACGTGCACCCATGTTTATAGCAGCACAATTTGTCATAGCTAAATCTTGGGAAACAACCCAAATGCCCATCAACAGAGGAATGGATAAAAAAGATGTGATATTTTTATACAATGGAGTATTACTCAGTTATAAAGGATAAACTTGAGACTTTTGAAGGTAAACAGATGCAACTTAAAATCATACTCATAAATGACGTAAATCACGCTCATATGTGTAAACACTGTATTGTGTCCCTGGTGTGAGGAACTGAAGGAGTAAATGAGGTCTAAAATGCACAATAGATATTGTGCAATGGGAAGAAAATGTTCAAAAGGAAAAAGGAACTAGGATGGGTGAAAGGGGAAAGGACAGTAGGGAACAGGGAAAAACACAAGGCAGTTATACAATTAGTGTCTCTTAGCTCATTAGAAAGGAAGGTGTGTGCTAATATCAGTTGGAGAAATTTTTATGCCCATATCTTGCACACTGAGCAACTACTTTAAAGATAACAACAAGTAATGCATTAACTATTATTATTCTCCTGTTATTTTTTTATAGCTTAAGAATTTATTTGTTTGCAACTAAGCTTGTTAACACTATATAATGAAAATGTACGAAGAATAATATTGCACTTTTTGGTTAGAATTAAGTCAAAGACATTCGTTAATAAGGAATCTTTGAGTGTGAATATTCCAGAAATTTCTCTCTCCTATTATTTTATTATGAAATTTTGTTTTACCCTTTTTCCATAAAATAAAAAAAAAAAAATTAAGAGACAGGTGAGGGCATGGCTTACCTTGCTGTCTCCCTGCTTGGGCCACATTTCTGACTGGAGCAGCAGCCATCACTGTTTATGATCCCTGTTGTGTGGCCTCTGTCAATTGTTCGAGTTCTTGTGGGGATTTTCTTAATAAAAGTATTGCATTTCCTTCTCTCATCTTCTTTCTAAGGGTTGGTAAAGCCTTCTCACACTTCCTAACTAAGTTCCTCACTATTCTTTATTTATATGCTTAACCTGGCCCAATTTGCTGTAATTTCTTTCACTGAAGTCTCTACTTGAACACTTACTGATGAATTCTGCCTCAACTGTAAGACATGAGTGATTAAGGTGCCACAAAGACATGCATATTCTTTGCTCCCTAAAGGATATATTATGTATCTGAAACAAAGGATGAAAAAATATATATAAAATTTGCAAATTCTTCATAAATGTCTTGTAGCCCAAGCATATACTTGATTATGTCATATCACATCAAAT